TTATATAACATACAATTTATTCATTAGGTTATCAAGTTCATCATTGAACAAGTCTGTAAGATAAAAAAACGTAGTTTTCTTAAATCTTCTACTATTAAAAAAAATATGATGTTAAGTATGCATTCTCATTTCAAACTACAAGTCAAAGTCCTGATAGTGAGTAGATATTAGAGCTATTTCAATAATGTAGAATATTCGTATTTTTATTTTAGAAAATATATAAAGAGTATCAAGATTTTTTATCTATAATTTTTGCGCGCTTAAATCAATCCACTTTTAAAAATACAATGCTTATCGCTAAGTTCGCATCAGATGCTTAGATATTCAAGTAGGTTCTTTTTCTTCCATTATTCATCGTCAGTATGACAGATTACAATTTACGACTAAATTTATATTTTCTACAGTTGTAGTGTATTGACAATAATTGTTATTATTGTTACATTTATTTCATTTCTTATCTGTTGGTGTTTGTCTACTGATGAGTCATGATTTACATATATGTATAATTCTATACATATATTTATGTGTTCTTTTCCCTTTATGTTGTGATCATTCTAATTGCGTATATAACAATATTTCTATTGTTATATTTCTTTTGTTTCTTTTTTGTATTCTGCATTCCATTTGTATGAGTCATCACAACATATAGATCTCTCTATATATATGCTCGTCTTTTCTTAAAAAGATGATAACTTTTGTTCGTTTCGTTTCATCTAACTTGTTAGTTGTTTCCGTTCTTCAAGTCAATAAAACAAGTTATTGACCTTGATCTTTATTGTATTACGCAATTCATAATACAATACATTTTCTGGCTTTTACGTATACCCTGAATACGTGACAACAGTGTAGGTATTTAGAGTTATTTAGATTCTGGAGTTAGTTTAACAAGCTCGAAATAACTTCAGTAGAATATCTATCAGATATAAGACGTTCACATTATCCATAATCAATCTACAAAATTATACAACATTTTGAAAGACAAATAAAAAAAATAGTTAGAAGTCAGTCTGTAACCAATGTTTGCTGATATTTAATCAAATCAATAGGTAGTTTGAAGCTTTTTTGCACGAAAGAGAAATATTTAATTGTGAATTACAAGTTTTCCAACTTCTACCAAAAATAAAAAACTTGAAACTTATATAAAATACTTCTATTCAAATATAAGTTTTTAAAAATTCACGAAATTTTGCTTTATTTAGATAAATATTACCACGGATACGAAATTAAATCTTTCTCTTTCGTCAAAACAAAAAATAATAAAAGCCACTCATTGGTTTGATCAAACATTGGTTGAATGAGCAGAAACTTGTCAAACAAACAATCGTTTACTGCAGATCAAATCATAAAAAATCATATGTTTAATCTTCAGCGAATTTATAGTTAGCATAATTATATTTAACGTTTAAAATATGTAACTTTAAGCATAGTTTAGACGGCAAAACAGCGTTTTTTCCAACTGTCTCGGTTCTTCTTCGCCCCTATCGTTCGACCACGATAAAAAAAACCGTATGTTCAATTCCATGAAATGACTTCAAGATAGTACGGTTCAATAATTCTGACAGACTAGTTGAGTTAAATCTATATCGTAGTTACCTCGCTTCTACATGTCTATGGCGGAACGAGGGTGTGTGGGTATGGATTTTGATCTTCTATTTACTAACACCCACACCCTCAGTGACATATTAAGTCATACACATTTAAGATAAGTTTCTAACTGTATCAGATAGGTTCTTGATATTTCAATGGCAGTATCTTCACCTATAATCTGGTACAGATAAAAATAATAGGTAACAACTCATGTTGGCTTCAAAAAGATCCAACCTCAGACCGTCGTATGCTGGGGCTCAGCTTCCTTGGTATCACCGTTGCGCTCATGCTTCGTTCTCTTTCTTTGCTTTTCACTTTCAGATAAACGTGAAGTTTTCAGATCATGGAACAAATCTATGTTTTAAAATGTGAACATGGTAAATATTATGTTGGACAAACGTCTGATATTGATCGGCGATTTGCTGAACATCTCGATGGCGAATATGGTAGTGAATGGACAAGGCTTCATAAACCCTTGGAAATCATCGAAATAAAAGACATCGAAAATCAATTTGATGAAATGAATAAAACATTGGAATACATGGACCAATATGGTATCAATAATGTTCGAGGTGCCCAATGGTCGAATATTTATTTAACGCAAGATCAACAGTCAGCAATTAGAGCAGCACTAAATCAGAATGCATGTTTTCGTTGTGGAGAATGTGGTCATTTTGCAAACAATTGTCCTAATGAAGATCGACAATCTCGTGTACCAGAAACAATGCGATGTTTCAATTGTGGAGAGCCTGGTCATTTTGCCAACGAATGCTTCAATCGAAGAAGATGGCAGCGGCGACCAATGCACTGCACTCGATGTGGTAGAGATACACACTATGAAAATGCATGTTACGCTTCCTTCGGTATCGATGGTCAAGAATTAGACTGCACTCGATGTGGACGAGATTCACATACTGCAAATGAATGCTATGCCAAATCTCATCTAGATGGACGAATTTTATATTAATATCAATACAACTAAAACAGCTACAAGCAGACTTGTTAATTCGTCAAGAAAAAATACGATCAATAGTCTTGACTAATATGCACTCTTTATACATTTCAATATTGTACGCATGTTAAACCCCATCGTCTCACTTTTTTGTTAAGAATCCAAATAAATTGTATGAAAATGTAGTTGCGAGTGTGTGGATGTTGGTATATAGATGTGGGTATGGGCTAAGGAATACTAAGCACATAAAACCACATTCTATCACAGATCTTGGTCTTCATAATAATAATGAATATACCAATGAAAAGTTGCTGAAAGCTTACAGTAGAAATGTGTATATGCACATATTATGGTTCTCTTCGAAAATCTAAAGCATTTGACATTGGTGGCACTGCATATGAATAAATATGTATCTTTATCACTTGATAATCCATCATCAATCACTTATTTCTCCTCGAGCGTTACTGCATCTCTACTAATGTTCTCGAAATATGGTGAGCTGATACTGTGCTTTATTGTCGTTTGAATTTAAGGAAAAATATCGAGGACCAAATGATGTTCATATTAATGTTAATGCACCGGCTGATAACTAGAAGAGTCATTATAGAGTATGAGACGTAGTTTTGATGATTGTAAAATAATTACAAATAAATAGCTAGCTGTTCTTGTTTTTCTCTTGTTCAAAATTGTTTTATAATTACTTGCTAATTACTAACTAGAATTCATTAACAAAAAATTGTAAAAATAAGAGTTTGTTGATTGTCAAAACAAATCATACAAAAGATTATCTACTAGTTTTTCAATAATTAACTTTTGACTTTTATTGAGTACAAAATGCAAGCAATTTTCGTGAAATTATCGAAGAAAAACACCGAAATTTATCAATGTTACGCAGTCATCTCGGATTCGTTCATAACACCTCTGTTATGGTTATCATTTGAAGAGAACGAAGGATATCATATAAAATTCCCTAGATTGAAAAATACATTAGGATGAAGAATGACATTGTCAAAATAAATCACACTATATTACAATGTCTGCATGAAAATATTTCCAAGAATAAACTTTTCTCTATTAATTAGAATTCTTACATATAATGAGTCTCACTTTAGGAATGAGAACTATACTATTTTACGATGTTAAGAAAGTTTCATGCGAATTCCAAATTCTAATCAATTTCAGGATTTCAAAATCTATGTAAATCTTGTAAACTTTTCAAGTAGCTCGCTTTCATTTTGAACCAATCGTCTGAATAACTTAAATTATTAATTTCTATGTGTAGAAAGTTTCGAATAGTCGACTATTAGTCTTCAAGATAAGTGTCTCAAATAAAATTTTTATTGTCGTTGAACTATATGTTTTCAGAGATATGTTTGTATGTTTAATAGGATGATCTACATCATATTGAAGCTTTTTTGATTAACGGTTATAATATCACTCGTCATGATGGAGATTTGGTAGTGTCACGTGGATGCGCTCGGGATTTTAGTAAACAGAAGATCAAAATCTGTACCCACCCATACCCACATTCTCGAACAGACGTATCTACAGAAGAATATTTTTCGGATATCTCCAATGCTTTTCTATAATATACAATGGCAAGACAATACTTACGCATTTTTTCATAAATGCCACCAATACTATTTAAAATATGAACAGTGTTGCAATGATTCTATTTTCGATAAATCATCAATGCTTGTTCATAATATGATCGAGCTTTAAGTTTACATTGTTTGTTTTCAAGATTCGGTTTTTCAACATAAACATCACCCAGAAACATTTAACTATCTGCTATACCAACATGATCCGCTGGAAGACATTCTAGTTTCATATTTAAACTTATTAAATAGCATTTTAAAGCTTTGTCGAATAGTTTTTTCTCAAGAAATATATTTCCGATAGTATCAATCCAATCAGCATGTCGAGTACGAGCAGAAATTTGCTCAATTAATCTGACAGCTTTATGCAATACTTCAATCCAATTTTATCATTATCTTGTTGACACAAACAAACTCCCATATTATCATAATTACGAGCTAGTCGAATAAAACTAGGTTTCGTTGGATCTGCATCTTCATTTCCTAGTGCCCTTTTAAAATATTCAAATACTTGAATATAATCACCCATTTCATGATAGATAATACGAATATTCTTCATAGCGGAGAGATAGTAATGCTTTTGAGAGATCAAAAACATGCTTTGAATAGATCAATGCATCATCGTATTTGTGTGATGTAGTTAAAACCAAAGCGAAATATGTTAAAGTATTTGAAACATTAACATCATATATATATCAGAAGAAAATTTCTCTCACATTTTCATCGATTTCTTTAGATAATCAAATGCAAGATTATAATCTTTCTTCAAATACTAAATGTATCCAATTTTACTTAAAATTATAACAATACTGATATATCCATTTGGGTGAGACATTTTCTTTATTTTTCAACGAAGCAACATACTAATTTAAAGCTTCATTGTATTTCTCTTGATTAGTTAATAGATGAGCAAGATGATTGAAATTGGATTCAATATTATCATGTCCGTTCAGTAGATATTTTTCATGCATTTTTAAACTTTTTTGATGATATTTCATTGCACCAGCGAAATCACCCAGACCGTTAAATATGGCAGCAATATGATCCGATATTTTCGCTATTTCTCTATGTTCGTTCGGAAAATTTTTTTTCTTCATGTCAAGACATCTCATTTGATAATTTAATGCACAATAATATTCACCTTTGATACGATAGATTATTCCAATGCTTCCTAGAGAAACAGCAATCACAGGATAATTCGAATGATCTTGGCTAATTTTCAGCGCACGCATATAATATTCCAGAGCTTGATCATATTGTTCTCGAATGTTTAAAATTGAGCCAATATCATTTATTAGATAAACTGATGGTCCCACACGTGGAATCTCAGTATTCACTAACAAATCATACGAATGTTTATAATATTCCAAAGCGTTTTCATGACTTCCTTTATTAAACTCAGTCATACCTAAATAATAATAAATAAAAGATTGAAGTTGTTCGTAAAAGACGTAATCATAACAAGGGCTTTGCATGTCTCTTAATGACTAAGAATAGATAACGAACCTCATTTTGGCGATAAGTAGGCACTAAATAGTCTAAGAAAGTTTTCCTTTCGCAATCCTTTCTTATGTAATACTTTCAATCAGAAAGATAATACAAAGAGAGATCTGTTTGTGGTGGCAATGCAACATCGGATATAGTACAAGTCACCTATCTTTGCTAAATTTGGAGACGAATGAGTGGTTCTTTGTGAATAAAAAATTTTATGAAACACGATTGTTAATCAGTGTTGAAGAATATGGTAAAAAAAGTGGAATCCTCTACTCCCTCCAGAGATATATTGGTCACCATCTATAATGCTAAAAGGAACTTGCTCGATTGATTCGCCTAGCAAGCTTCAATATATATATAGTACATATTCTTCATCATGTTTTCAATAGTTCCATTGTGTTTGCTATTTCCATGCCACTGAGATTACCTAAATAACTTTTCATTTCAATTTGTTTCTACTATCATCGAAGTATAAAAACACTGAATATTCTGTATTGAGTCAGTGAAGGTTTCTTGACTTGAAACTCCAACCAAACAACCCGTTTAGTTTAGCATCTCTTGAGTCTCACACGTTTAGTTGACTAGAAATCTTCAGGATTATATGTTGCAAGTCAAACATTTCTTCGTCACTTAACATAAAAACTTGAGTGTTCTTAGGATATGTGAAAACGGTGCTGACATAATTTTGTACAGCAGTCTAAATTTTGTCATTTGAGTTTTCTAATAGACGCTCAAAATACTATTGTCATTGGTCATATTGTCCGATAGTTGTGAGAAAGCGGTCATAGATAAGCTTCGCATTACAAAAGCATTCAATGACAGATCTCTTGAAACAGATAATATTTCAAAAGCCGCATCCAAATCAAATAAAACTTCCTCTTCATTTGGATGTTGATTATAATGAGCAATCGAAACCATAATAATCGAATCGGTTTTGTGCAGATCACATTCGATTTCAAATAAAATTGTTCCTTTTTCTTCTGTTGATTCACTAATGAACGTCAAAGCAACTTTTTTCTGAAAACTTGTTGATAAATATTCATTTGTTGAAAGAAGGTTTCCAACACCAGATTCTAACTTTTAAGCTTTTTCTTTTGATATTTGAACACCATTATATGTGACTATTGAATCTAATGAATCTTTTAATTGTTTATATTCACACCAAAAGCTTTGTGAAAGATCAAATATAAAATAACGAAATTTGTGTAAGAATTCATTATCTTCTGTACGTAAAGCTTTATTTAAATGATTGTATAAAAATGGTTCTTTCGTATACCATTGACAAGCATCTTCGGATTTATATGTGCGATGAAAATTTTCAATTAATATCATTTGTTGATTATTATTACGATTGTATTCTTTTAATTTTACGATCATTTCTTGTTTGGCTTGTTAATCATGGGATAATTGAAGGATAACATCTTTGAATAAGCGTTACCAAAGAAATGAAACAAATTCTTTGAATGATTGACGAGTTGATTTTTGATATTCTTGATAGAATTTGAATGTTTCAATTTGTTTATTAACTAATTAGACCAATATAATCGTGAATCGATTGAAATAAATCTTCGAATTTATTGAAGATACCAATTATTTTCGAAGATTTATCAAACATATTTTCATCAAATCTATTTACTTGATCAATCGAATAAATACAAATTGAAATTTAATTACGGGAAATGATTTATCAATGATAAAATTTCTAGTGTATATGACGAAGGTGATAGGAAAAATATTGTTTCACTTTTCGGTATTGATTTAATCGAATCGACGCAGCTTTGTTGATCATGATAGAAAGTAAATAAAATATTCTTTCATTGATTATAAGCACAGTCTTCGATATTATCGATATCATATCAGATGAACATGATATGGGTTGTCATATTGCTGCTAAAAACAATAACACGTTTCTCGATGGGCGAAAAAAAGGAAAATGAAAGGAATGTGCATGGTGAGAGATCATATAAAATAACGAAAGAATGATAAGGAAACTGGAGAAAGATAATGTATTTAAAAAAAGGTGAAATTTTCTCATTCTCGAGAGAAGGAAGAAAACAAAGGACTGTTAGCAATGGACAAAAAAGAATCCTTTTAAAGTCAATGAATCATGCATTCCTATTTTTATCGAAACTACAAGAATTAGAATAAAAAATTTAATAAGCTAATGGTATTACAATGAATGAAAACCAACTTGCTTTTCTTTCTGGGCTTATTTCTATCGACTTGAAATGGCAAAAAATCATCGTTGGAACATGTTGCGAGACCAATTAGTTTCGATTGGACTTTATCGCTAACAACTGAAAATTAAAAAAACATAAAAGGAAACAATGAGTGTCACTTTTCACTGTCCTGAGGAGAAATACTTAAATTATAATCTATATTTTTTAATTAAAAGCGTGATCCACGTTAGCAGACAACCGATGATGCATCAGAATAAACACGATAACCAATTCACTGAACCAACCACATTTCGTAACCAGGATGGAGGTGTAGGGTGAGGAAACTAGAACAATGTCGACAATTGAAAAAAAATAGAAAAAAATTGAACGGGTGATCAAATTGTATTTATGATTACAAATTCAAATACACATGAATAAGAAGAAGAATATACATCAATAAAGAAACAAATGCAATAATCATATATTTATGTTATATATCAGCATATATGTATTAAATTACTTCGATTTCGCACCAACTGGTAATGACTCTAGATAACAATATTCACACAGCTGCGTTATTCCTTCGTCGTAGTAAGCTGGGGATGCGAATGACGAGTGCGGATGAAGGCAACGATCAAGTTGGGGGCTACTTTTACGTATACTAGGACAGTATTCTGCATTGTGATAAAAGTTTCGACACTTTCGAAGTCAACATCCGTTTTGACGAAATTTTTCCTGTCGGTATTTCGACACCTTGCCATGAGGTGTGTGGGTGTGGATATCATTCTCTTGTTCATACCTACACCCTAGGTACATCCACACTCACATTTGTACACATGCTTTGTTTTGCACACGTTCTATCTAACAAAATCATGGTGACAATTTTTGTCAAGAAATCTAAAAACATAAATTTAAGATGAAATGTTGTTTGAATCTTGTTGTTCTCCTTTCCTTTCTAGTCAATGACGTTGTTGTTGCGTGAGATGGTGAATCACAAGGTGGTTGCTATCAACATTTCTCGCTCGTGACATTAATATGACGTGCGATATGAATTGCGTTGCTTGCAGTAATAAATGTGAGAAGAAAAGGTTATAAAATGCAACTTTTTGCTCTGTTAAATAAAGAAAACATTATTTTTTTTTGTTTTTGAGACCGTTGTAAATATGAAATATGAATCTATACGATTCGTTTGCTTTTATCTTTCTATGGTAACTATGAATTTGATGCACTTCTTTTTATTTTATACAACAGGTTCTGTCAAGAAAATCATATGATAATTTCGGATCGATTCTAGAATCTTTACTCTTCGTGCTAGAATATTATCAAAGGTAGTTTAATCGAGAGATATCTCTGAAATACTTGTTTTACATGTTGCGTACTGACAGATCTATCGTTCTACTGTTGAGCTGAGAAAAATTCCAAGGTCACTTTCTCTTGCGTTCGGTTGTCGTAATCAAAATTTTAAATTGACTCTCAAATGTAGGTGATACACCGTAGATCAGTTGATGAAGAATGCCCATAGAGAAAGTGGCGGGGTGTGATCAGACGGAATCGCACACTCACACCAAAATGACCTATTTGTGACTCGTATTTAGCAAATATCTTCTTCAAAAGCAATAGTATCAGACGAAAGGTTGTTACGGTAGCCTCTTCACTATAGTTCTAACATATCTCGAAAAAATCATGCGACTTATATGTACATGATCGAAAATCACTCTTCAGGATGCATGAAGATGTTCTCAAGTGTCGAAATACTTCTTGAACGAATCTTCGAAAAGCTTGGAAGGCAATGTGTAAAGAGTTTCATATAGCCATAAATCCCCTGCAAGAACGACATTTTTTTATAGATTATTGTCGAATAAAAATTTCCCAACAATGACATCAAAAACACCTGTGTCACCAACAGTTAAAAGAAAAAACAGAAAATCATTCAAACGTACGCCTATAATCGATACCAGTCAAGCTCGATCGAATATTGAAGTTCTTCGAATGTGTCTACAAGAACTCGGCTGGAAAGAAGTAGGTTGACTAGATCGTTACTTTGTGTTTGATTTTGTTTTATATTCTAGTGTACTTCTGGTTCCTCTACTGATTCAGACATCTATTGGCATTCGGGAGCATTTGATGAAGGCAATAGGAATTTCAGTTTGACTTCAGCTAGAGTGAATAAATTTCCAGGTATGATATCATAAAAGAAGATGCTTTTCCATCTCTTTCTTTCCACTACTTCGCCTTTTCAAAAATAATTAACTGTTGTCTCATTGTGATTAACGGGCTACTAGTTTCAAGCACAAATTTAATTTAATTATAATCTGAACAGTCCAAAGGAAAAGTTATCTGACATTGTTTCTCATACAAAATTACCTTTTACATGAATTCAGGTGTCGTAATCACAGTAAGAAAAGCAAGGCTCCATGCAAGATAACATGTAATACTGTATCATAGGATACTGCTGCTTTTCATAAGCCGATCACTTTTAACATAGACAATCCGTTTTAATACGAATGCTCTTCTTTTGTATAAACGCTTTATGAGTCAGGATTTTTAGCAATAAAAGCAGAGCTGGAATCAATGCTGCTTGATACATTATATATGTATAAAGTAATTTTATTTCTACTACTTTGCGTAAGCAAAAGTTTGTCTTCCTTTTGTTCTGCTATTCATTTTCCTTCTGGTACTTTATCGTAATCTATCATGCACGCTTATTCTAATTTCATGACTCTGTTACCTATACCCATCGTTTAGTTCTTGAG